TTTCATGTATATGTTTTTTGGGCCTTATGCAAGACTCTCCCTTTAGGTGCATATTTTCTCAATGGGTGCAAGATTTCTTCCCTAAAATGCGTAACTCTATCATTAGGTGCAACCTCTTTTTGGGTGCAAAACATCTTCAACCAAATGCAACTTTCTTTTTCATCATATGCAAAATGCTTCCATGATATGCAAGGTTCAAAAATTGGATTGTTCAAAAAATTCTATTTTTTTATAGTTTTTTATCAAAAAATTTTTAAAAAATGACCATCTTTTTTAATCATTTGATATTATATTGTATCATATGGCTTGTTAAGTCATGATGAACTTAAAATATTTGGTTTTATTATTAAGTTAAGTAGCAATTTTATATTTATTTCTTATATTTAAATTATTATATATATATATATATAATTTTTTCAATTTAATTATTACATCAATGGTCAAACCTGATTGAATCATACAAACTATGAACTGCTAACCATTCCAGTTCAATATTCGATCCAGTTATGAAAAACATTACATTGGTATGCAATAAGCTTTCATGATATACAAGATTTTTTAAGTCATATGCAACACTCTCTTGCATATGCAACCCTCCTTCCATTATATGCAACCACTCTTTTGCATATACAACACTCTCCTATTATATGTAACACTCTTTTGCAGATGCAAATTTTTTCTACAATATACAATATTTCTTCTATTATATGCAATACTCTCCCACAGATGTAAATTTCTTCTATAATATGCAATGTCTATTTCTATTATATGCAATACTCTTCCACATATACAATACTATTTCGCAAATGCAAATTTCTTCACTGATATACAACACTTTCTTGTCATATGCAATATTTTCCCAGCAAATGCAATACCTTTGCATAGGTATATATTAGGTGCAGAAATATTGACACTGAAGGACTTTATTTAGCATATTGACACTAAAGGATCTTGTTTGGCATATTGATATTGAAGGACCTTGTGCTTTAATTCTCTGCTTTAATACTCGATAAATTATTACCAAAAAACCTTGAGATATATTGACAATGACAAATCTTGATCAACCTTCTCTTCTTTTTTTTTTTTTCCATTAAGGGCGTTTAAGTTATTTGCCCCTTGAAATTATTGATAGCCAAGGCCTAGTATCCCAAGTCCTTTTTGGCAACAAATATTGTGATTAAGTTTTTTTGGATAATTCTTCCTTAGAAGTTTCAATTTTATTGGATGTTCCGCAGAGACACTTAGCTTGGAAGTTTATACTAATTCATTTAAAAAAAAACAAGAAGAATAAGGTTTTCAAGTACATTTAATTGTTTTCATTAGTCTTTGTAATTTTTTTTTTTTAAATCTGATCAACATGTAAATATATGTTATCGAACAAGACAATTTCTACAGGAAAATAACAGAAAGGAAATAAATTTGGTGCACGTCTCTATTGTGGTTGCCATTTTGTTGGAAAATTAAGACTAATGTAATAGCCACCGCACATTTTGCTAACTATTTGAATTTGTATGTTGTCTATAACTGATAAGTGATAAGATTATATTCCAAACATGTACGAGAATTTTGACATAATCCATATTGGTTGAAGATTACATGTCTCACACTTATAGTCTCCCCTAAAACCTACTCACCTGTTTTGCTAAATGTCTCAATTATGTTTGGCACACTTTGACAAAACAATCCATCATCTTGCATTAAATAATACTCCTGTATTTGGTCATGTTTATAAGGTACAAAGAGTAATTATTTTGATCACATTTATAAAACACCTCAATGATTATATTGTATCTATCTTTATCCTTTTACCCTTATTAATTGTTGGAAAGTTATTAAATATTTGAATATTTTATTTTTAAAATATGTATATTTAATAAGGATAAAGTTAAAAATTTATTGAATTTTCAAGCAAAATTAATAAAGTTTAAGATTTTTATTGATTCCGATAAAAATATTGGAAATAAATTATTATCAATAAGAGCAGAAGATTATTCCCAACTAAATGGAATCTATTACGTTTAAACCTAAAATTCCTTATTAATCATTTCAATATTACTGTTATTGTTTTATAAAAATTATGACTAAAATTCCTTATTATAAAGTATTTTCTACATACTATTTTTAGTTCACAATATAAGGGGTTTTGTCCTACTTTTCAAATAGTTGGGATCTTTTACCTCTGAACCCCCTTGAAAATTGTTGGAAGAAAAATAATTATGGTCTGGAAAGAAGTTTTTAATTATTCTTTTAATGAACAGGACGGAGATGGTTCTTAAATTTTCCTTAGGTGAAAAAAATGAATAGGACCAAGATGAAATATTGACATACTTTTATACTATTTTAATTTAATTGAGTCATTAATATATATTGGTACAAGTAAAATAATTAAAGATACCTTATGGGTTGATGGGAGTATTTTAATAGGGTGAATTAAATACTTAATATATTTTTATCCAATCAAATTAAATAGATAAGTGAATTTTAATGTGTTAGTAACATTAGTAGCAAAAATTTGTTATGAAATAAATAATATGTAAAAAATTAATGTTTCTTGATTTAATTAAAAACAATTACCTTTAATATAAAGCTAAATATATAATTTTTTTCATATTCATGTGATTATTTCATAAAAAGTAAGATAAAAAATCATATAGTATTCTATAGAAGACACCCTATAATATTTAGGGAATATAATAAAAATATAGGCTATAGTATAATTTTAGTCTTTTAACTTTACAAAATATTGTATATTTTCAACACTTTAATTCTAATACCACTAGTTTCATTATAAAAAAATTTTAGACATTGACAAAACATTTTTAAATGCTAACATATTAAAATTTTAATTTTTTTTAAAATAACAATAATTTGTACAAAAAATAATTATTTGAAACTAACAGTTTTGGTATTAAAGGACTAAAAAAATACTTTATCAAATTAAAAATTAAAATTAAAATATTATATAAATTTAAAGTATTGAAAATTCACTTTAACTTAAAAATATAAATCATGTGAGAAATGTATAAACTATAAAGTACGACTTTTCAATCATTTTGACAATGTTGTTTAGAAAACACCTTACCCATGCACTTACCAGTCAAAGTCAAAATGTGTTTGATCCAGGCAAAATGAGGTTAGGTCTTATAAAAAGGATTAATTTCTTACAAAATAATGAACTAAAGTTTAAATTTCTATCAAAAGATGTGCTCACATTTAATATGCTCACATTTAATATCCGACCGTATCTTGAAGAGGGTTGCCTTCAGTAGGAGGATAATTATAAGTAATAAAAAATAATTTTTTTGGCCAGAATTATCAAAAAAAAACTCAAGTAAAATTATTAAAGCATATTAAATATTATATTCTTTATTAAATACCCCATTCAATCCTTCTTACAAGTCAAATTTTAAAAGGAATTGATTATCTTTATTATAAATCGCCAAACAAGTATTACTTGCTTTCTTTTAAAGATAATCCCTATTTAAAGTCTGATGCCATTTTTCTTTGTGACTAGTTAGAATGCAATTTATGGTTTTAGATATGGGTAAACTAAGACCTTATAATAAGAACCAGAAAAGTACATATATTATTGATAGAATATTATTGTTAATAATTATTATAATTGTTAAAATCAAAATATTTTTTAAAAAATATATATATACAAACTGTGAAATTTCTGGACGTGCTCCCCCCACAGGGAAGAAGAAAGATCCAAGGAAATAAGTGAATCAATGGCTTTGATCCGATGGCTTAAAATGTATTACTCTTGGGCCGAAAAAAGTATTTTGTTTGGACTAATGAAATGTTGCAACGCAATCTAAATCTTGTTCTTATAGGGCTTGTATTAGGCCTATGCTTTATGGATTCAGTAAGCTCTATTGAGCCCAGTAAGGAAAAAAGTTTTAAAGTATTGGGCCACATTTGAAGTAAAAGTGCCAGTGTTATGGGCGTGTTATCCTAAGAATGTCCTTGAGCACATAAGCGTATTTGATAATTGAGGTGAGAAATTGACAGTCTTCTTTGTACTTTTTATAGTTTTTTGGATCCTAGTCTATAATTTTTTTAATTTTTTTTTTGTAATTTTTTAGCCCTTTACTTTAATTTCAGTTATTTTTTATAATTTTTGAAGTCCTTTTTTTTTTAACTATTTTCTTGTTGTTAATTAATGTCAAAGTTAATTTTTATTAATGACATAAATTAAATTACATTGTTTTCAAAAGTTGAACAGAAATATTATACAAAAAAATAAGTTTTCAATTCCAAATACTTATGCACTTATAATTTAAGAATCAATTTGATCAATTAACCATTTAAAAAAATTATGTTCCCCTAGTTGCTAGTTTTGGAATTGCCACCACCGAACGACTTCCTACTAGAGCTTCACTACTGATCACTAGTCAGCCATCAAAGCTCCGATGGCCATGGGAGATAATTTTTAAAGGAGAGTACATTAGTAAATGTGCATCAAAACTAATTGCAATCAAAGTCCATAGGACTTTAGGATTATTTTTTCATTTTACAAGACTTTTTGGAAATTAGAATTAGAATTCGTATATGGGACCTCTATATAATTTTTCCTAAAACATTCTATTTTTTAAAAACAAATATGAGGGAAAGAAACCAAGAATATAGTTCAATTTTTTTTTTTTTGGGCCTGAAATATAGTTCAGATTTTAGGAAACAAATCAATGTATGTTTGATATAGACTTTTAAAAATTATATGTTTAACATGATTTAACTAGTATATCGATTAGTATTATACAAAAATTAAATTACATAAATAAAATTTATCTTATCTTATAAATATTAAATATGATTCTCTTTTCATTTGAACAATAATCAATAACAAAAAATGTTTTAGTCAATCAATAAATTATATATTTCATTTCTATTCAAATACATTAATAATACACATATACATTTCCGCCACTAATTGTCATTCAAACCTAACATCAAAATAAACCAGCATATGATAATTGATAATGAAGAACACATAAGTATTTATTTGTCACTAGGATTTCATTTATTACTAGTAAAAATTTACAATGTAGTAGAACTATATATTTTGAATATAGGAAATAAATAATTACTGCATGAGAACAATACTATATTTTTTTTGGCCAAAAAGAACAATACTATATAGAAAAAGCCAAAAAAAAAAAAAGGAGCACACCATTGACCATACCATGGACATGCATATTTAGAATCCTTTCTTAAGTTTATTTGATTCCAATGGAATGTATCCACGCCCTTGATCTTACCTCCACTTGCTTCCTGCCACGTGTCCCCCTCATTTCCCTCTTCTTCTTCTTCCTCTTCTTCCACATATTCATCCCTCACCATATAATGTTGCTGATAATATTTGAACGCCACAAACAACACAAACACTGCAACACGCACACATGTAAATACCAATTCATGTATATTATCATTAGAATATAATGGCTTTATATATTGGGAAAATGGCTGTAAAGTCTTAAAAGAAAGAATTAATAACAATTAAGTTTTCAATAAAAAATTTTATAAAATAAATTGTAAGTATTAATTTAAACAATTGTAAATTAAAAATTTCAATTATAAATTGAAAGTTGAACTTATGATTTGAGTGTCTCATTCGTAATGAGAACTTTTGAATTTGCCCTTGAATTGATATTTATGACTTAAAAAAAAAAAAACCTAACTATCATTATTTTTTTTAACACTTAACTGTTATTCCTCATATATTTGTGTTCATGATAAACTTGATGCTTTAAATTTACCTGCCCAAACACGTGCGACAACTGATGACATATTCCATACAAGGCTGAAGATGCCAAGAGCCACAGCCTTCTTGTGTGAGCATGAATCCCAAGCGTCTCTGAATCTTCGAACCCAAAAATTTGCTTCGCGCACAAAGGTATAACATTCACCACATAAATTAACTAGTAATTAATCAGAAACATAATACAGGTTATCTATTTCAAGATTAAGAAAAGGACAACGACAAAAGGAACCGAGGAGAAGGAGGGGACCATTTTAGAACTTAAATAAATAAGGCTCATAAAGAAGAGAGCTTGGGTTTTGGGAACCCAATAAATAGATTTATGTACATGACAGTGACTATTCTGGAGCTTGAAGTTTTGGGAAGTGCCAAAGAGCATATACAAGAGGTTGAGGACCGTTATGATCCCATAATTATGTCCCTGATGAATAATCCCAAGTGGCATGGGTAGACATGAAAACCCAATTCTCAATGGGCCCAAAACCAATGTTTTGCAATAAATTTTTCCCCCTGATGAATCATCTCTTTTTTGAATAACAATGGTTCATTCAACAAGATTATTGACTTGTTTCTTCAAAAAAAAAAAAAATACAAGTTCCTTTCATCTTCCTCCTCTTCTACTAAGTACTAACCAAGATGGAAGATAATTAAAGATGCAGTTATTCTGAAATCTAGCTAAAATATCAGCTTCCCTAATGAAGCCTCTATACACAAAAGTTAAATTAACATCCAATCGCTGCTTACAAGCATTCTAATACAAGTTATTTTTCCATTTACCCCAACAAATAAGAATTAAAAATATCCAATACAGTTAAGTTTTGGAACATTACAACTGAGAGCATGAGTTAATAATAAATTTATTTGTGTTCTGACTATTTTCATGTACCGATGTAGATAAATCTAAAGGGCCTGTTTTGGATATCCTTTTAGAATCAATTCTAGATTCAAAATCATGGTTTTGAAAAATTTTATTCAAACACTCCAATTTTCTCAAACTCCATTTGGTTTTTCAAAACTCCATTTAGAATAAGTTAAAATTTATTCATTTTAAAAAATCAATATCATTATCAATTCTTAAAATTTTATTCAAATACCATCACATTTTAATAATCAATTTTTTTCAATTAAAATTAAAACACACCAAAAAATGTAGTGTGACTTTTTTAAAGAGTTTAGCTATTGATGTTGGTTTAACATGATATGAATTTAGATGATGATGAATGTATTACGGAGCCCCATGATCTGAATTAATCTTTCTAAATGATAGGTCCCATCAGGTCAGCACTATGGAGACACCGTCTACACTATCACTATTAGGTGCAAAAGATCCGTTCCCAAGGCACGAGGACGAGGTCATGAGCAGCTGTGGTGGGCCTACGAGAGCACTGGCACCACACACCAGTGAGTCAAACATTGCCCACTTCGCACTGCTCGACTGGCCTTTCACTGCAAGTGTACAGCATTCTTTTACACACCTTAACGGTATACCATGAAGTAATGAAGATGGAGTCATCAATCTGGCTTTTTTTCTTTTTTTCAAATCCAAAACAATCAGGCAATCTAATCCACTATTTTTTTCCCTCTTGTCCTAACTGATCACTCTATTTCTATATATTCAGAAACTTTCAGATCATATATTTAACAAAAGGTAAACCAAATTCGGGAAATTACCATATGAAGTTAACTGTGCAGAATAGGAAGAACAGACTTTTGGTACCGTAAAAACTCCAAAGAAACCTGAGTAGTGAGAAACATATACATGTCAGTTATAAAATGGAAAAAAAAAATAATAATAATCCACCGAAACAATTGATAAAGTGAGAAAAGAAATCTTTAATAGAGTTTTTTGTATATCAAATTCATTAACATAAAAGAAAAGTTTAATAATTCTCTATCTAGCTAATGGGTAAGTTTAAATGAAAAGAAACTGAGACGCAAGTAATCTGCTTCCTCTGATTTTGTTTCAAAGGACCTGAGGGTTTTGAACTTTTGGCTTTTCACAAATTGGTCACATAAGAGGGCACTATCTAGAAATAGGCTTGGGCACTTCCCTTTTCACAAGGGCATGGCACAAAGCCACAAAGGATCATCTCTTTTAGCTGTTATATTTCTAAACTGATCTTACCCAACCCAAAAAAAAAAAAAAGAATGACACAAATCAATCAAAAGGGAACTTACCGAATTTGGCCATTTTCCAAATGGTTATGGAGTTGCCACATCTGGCTAAAACAAAGAGCAATACTGCCAGCTGCATATTTCATAGCTTGAGGTCAAAATTTTGCAGTCATTCTTTTATTAAACCACCAAGGTATAAAAAGAATCAAGTAAAATGTAGCGCGCGCGCAGATGCTAACATGTTTAATTGGAGATATTCTCATAAAACACTCTTTTAACACTGCGTAGGAAATGACAAGGGAAGGAAATCACGTAATCAGTGAGTAGAGCACGTTACCTTCATTGTGGTACCAGGATCTCCAGAAAAGAGGGCTCTGAGTTTAGAAAGCAACTCGTTCAAATAAGGGAGAATCAGTTTTAGTACCCAAGTTGCTTCTTCTTCTCCCAGTACATAATTTTTGTCATCTACGTCTATGACTCCCCTGTATAGAAACAAAAAGAAAATCAGAAACAGAGTACTTTCCTGATAATTTTCTGTCATTCACTTTTCTCCCATGCTTGGACTATTACCTGCAAATTAAGGATCTGTGGAGGAAGATAACAGCAAGATAGACGAGGCCCAGATAGGACAACACAGAAATAAAGCTGCAACCACAGGGACAGGGAATTTGTCAGTTCAGGGAATTGACAATTACTATGTTTTATTATTTTATGTTTCAGTGCGAATTTCTGACCTCACATTTATATCCTGTGCATAAGAAGATGAGATTACAACGAATGTTCCAATGCCAAAGACGAAGGCTGATCTTGAGATATCTCTCCACATGACTAAGTCAACTGAAGATTGAAATTTACAATAAGAAAAATGTTAAAATCTGAATAAATTTTGCCAACAAAATTCATTTTTCACTCCTGCACATTTCTGAATTGCAGATAGATCAATCACCTAGACTCTGCAATTTGCTCTGGGTTTGAGGGAAGCTATGGTATTCTGCTCACGGAATTGAAGAATAAAAGTCAGTCAGTGTTATTAAAATAAACAAGCACAGAGCCCAGAAAACAGACTGAGAAAAAGGAAAATCAGAAGAACTTACTTGAATGTGAATTATCTTTTGAGAAGTTTTGGTAAATTGTGGAATGCCTTTTAACTGGAGGAGATTGTTTCACAGTAACTGCAGGGATTGACACAGGTCTTTCATAATTTTGCTGAAATCTCCTGTAGGTACTCTGAATTTTCTTGGGTTCTGGTTGATTCACATTCACAGCCTTCTTGTTTACAGGTTCATCAATCACAGCCTTCTTTTCTGGTTCCTTCACAACCACCTTCTTGTCTAGTTCATTCGCAACCTTGGTATTGTTATTCTCTGGTTTTTTCACGACCATTTTCTTTTCCTGTTCATTCACAGTCTCGTTATTCTCCGACTCCTTCACAATTTTGGGCTCTGTAGGAATGCTGATTTCCTTCACATCGAAACTCTCCTCCGCCTCAGTTTCGATCGTCTCATCCACCGCGTCCTCCTCTTTATCTCCATCTTCATCTGTTTCTGCTTCTTCGTCGACTGAACCATCGGCATCGCCGTCGACGAGCACCGACAATTCCGGAGAACATTTCGTTTCGCTCACATTTTCCGTACTGCTTGAAATGAGCTTCTCTTCACACACCCCGAAATCCTTGCAATTTTCGTCAGTATCGTCGTCCTTCTCATTCTGAGCTGTAACATTCTCGATTCGGCCATTGATCCCATTGCTTGACTCATCCAAAACAGGATCCGACGCGGATTTCGTCTTCCTCAATTGTGCTGAATTATTCTCCCCAACGCTCTTCACATTATTCTGATTCGCCGTCCTCATTGAATCTGACTTCGACTTCCTCAAACTCCTCCCAGGTCCCTCACTGGATTCAACCGCATCTTTCGGCACCTCAGATCTCAGCTTTCTCCCAGGAATCGAAGCACCTCCAGTCCTGGGCCTCCTCGTCGGAATCGGACTCTTCTTGATCCCATCTGAAGAAACGTTGAGCTCCTTACATTGTTCATCACAATTCTTCAGCCCCGACTCTGATTTCCCTTTGGCAATCTGCATTTGAGCCTTATCGGTTGCATCTGAGCTATTGTCCGATTTCCCCATCCTCCGCTTCCCACTCGCAGCCACACTCCCCACAGTGCTTCTCTTGAGTCTGGAGGCAGTTCCAGAGGCAGCATTGGGAGGTACTTCATCAGAATTATCATCGCCATTGAAGACCTTAATCCCACCTTTGACTTCATCACTCTTCATCCTGGATTCCCACACAGAGCCAGCAGCAACAACAACAGTACTACTAGTAGCAGTAGTAGAAGAAGAAGTTCTAGAGGGAATTCTCCTTCTAGCTACATCCATAGGACCATCCAATTGAGGTTTTTAAGGGGCATGAGTAGTGGGGGACATAGGTGTGTTGGGGTTAAGGGATAAGAAGCTTTGAGCTGAAGGAACGGACATGGCAGTTGGTGGGGGAGAAGTGAAGCATTGGGATCCCTTTGTAAAGCACAATGAGAAGACTTTGTCGCGATGTAGAGAGAGAGAGAGAGGTTGGTCTCTTTTCTTTTTCTTTATGGTTAGCTTTAGAGGAAATAAGGAGGAGGTAAATGAATAAGGTGGTGGTGAAGATGGTGGGGTTGAATGATTAGGGCGTGTTAAGGATGATGTTGAGCATGACGATTCCTTTTTCTGCATTTGATTCCACAACTCTCTCTCTCTCTCTCTCTCTCTCTCGCGCAGACACAGACAGTCACAAAAAGTCACCCCTCTCTCACATGCACATGAAGACGCTTCCTACATTTCATCAGATTTCTTGTTATATTATAATAACAACTGGATTGGGATTTGGATTCTCTTAGACCTACACTGCAATTGTTTGTTGTAATCTCTTCAAAATTATATATTTGTAAATAAATTATACTTACGGACACACTCTTGAGTCTTGGCTGCGCGTTCATGGTACTGCCGAAGTGGTCAAGGAGTATGAGAATCATGTGCTTCAATTTTTTATTTTTCCTGCGTACTGTATAAACATTACTTATATTTCAATATTACAATACATTTTAATTGAATTATATTTTAATAAGTTAATTAATTATTTTTTAAATACACATTTTTTTGTATTTATTTTTATTTAATATGATATTTCAATTAAAATATTATTAATTACATCCCAAGTTAAGGATAATTTTTTTAAAACAATTTAATTATATCTTAAAAGATTTAAAATATCTTATATATATTTCCTCACTTCAAAAATATGAAACATTTTCTGTGAGATAAAATATTAAAAAATACTTCCTCCATTCCAAATTATAAAACACTTTTAGACAAAATTTCACATACTAATAAATCTCATTAAATACACTTAACAACCTTATCATTTCAAAATAAAAATATAAACTTTTCAAAATATTTCTAATTTAATATATTAAAAAAAGTGATAGAAATTAATTATAGAGAAAGAAAGGATGATATTAAAATTAGTGTATTACTAGCTACTCAAAGTGTGTTATATTTTGAGACATAGAAACTACTTTGAAAGTGTCCTATAATTTAAGTTGGAGAGAGTATATAATATTTTGTGTATTTTAAGGTAAAAACAATCAATGAGATTTTTTTTTTCAAACATATACAGGCATAATTAATAAGGTTTTTTTAGTTGAAAAATTATATTAAATAGAAATAAATATAAGAAGAGTGTGTAATTTTAAAAACAATTAGCTATCTTATTGAGTAATGTGATTGGGCTTGTACTATTGAAGGAAGGGTGTGTAATTTATAAATAAATCTCATGAAATTCAAAAACAATAACAATTCCCTTGAGATTTAAGTGTAATTTAAAATTTAAATATATAATAATAATAGCCTTATTAAAAATATATTGTATCAATTAAATAATTTATAATTATTTTATCAGTAATTTATAAATATTATTTTTACTTTTTACAACAGTAATTTAACATAACTAATAGTTAAACAATCATGCATTATTAAAAATTTTAACACTAATTATTTATAAATATTTTATTAGTAATTTATAACTATCACTTTAACTTTTTACAATTGTAATTTCACATATCAAATAGTCAAATCGATTATACATTAATAATAAAATTTAATACTAATTATTTACAATTACTTCATCATTAATTTATAACTATTACTTCAACTTTTTATAATTATAATTTCAAATATTCAATAATTAAAATGTTTGAATATTTGATGTAAAAAATAGAAGTTACAGTTGTGAAAAGTTAAAATAATAGCTACAAATTATTGTGAAATAATTACAAATTATTTTATTGATATAATGTATTTTTAATAGGGGCATTATTGTTTCTAGACTCTAATTTTAAGCTACATTCAAGTTCCAATGGGCCATTCAAAATTTCTTAAAACTTACTTATAAATAAGTCCACTCTATGTAACCTATACATAATTTTTTCATTTATATGTGCCCTGTGGAACTATTTTATTAACAATTTTTTTAGAGACAATCATTGCATCTTAAGTTAAGAAAATTAATTTAGTTTTTTGTCACTATTATGTTAAAAAATATACACTCTCTCAATTCAATATTAATAACGTTTTTCAAAAATATCTTTAATTACAAGTGTAATTAATAAGATTTTTTTAATTACGACGCTATTAAATAACAGCAAACATAGAAAGAATGGATAATTTTAAATGTCATTAATTAATTTATTGAAATGTAAATTAATTAAAAATGTCATATAATTTAATGAGGATATTAATTTTTAATACACTTTTAAATAAAATTTTACATACCAATAAATCCTATCAAAAACACTTAAGAATTTTATTTTTCAAAATAAAAATATAAAATTTCAAAACAAAATAGAGAGGGACTGAAATTAAATAGAAAAAGAAAGAATAATATTAAAATAAGCATATTTAATGAGATATTAATCTTTTCAAAGTGTTACACATTTTGGAATGTTGAATCTACTTCAAAATTATTTTATAATTTGGGACAAAGAGAGTATTATATTTGGTAGTTAGGATCAAAACAAATCTCTTAATTAAGTCTTAATTATATTTAACACCGAAGAGAGAATTAAAAGAGCTGCATTATTTAAAGTGTGTGAGTACTGAATAGTACAAGTTAGTAGAAATCTTAAATTTTAATTATCTTAACATTGTACATGTAAAATAAGATGGAAAGAAACTTCTTGTTGATTTCCAACTTTAGTTGATTAGATTGTTGCCCTTTATTCTCTTTCTCTAACAGAAATCACCACCACATCCATGCATTGTGAAAGAGAGATGATCTTTTTATGAACCTGTTTCAAGAAAAATACTAACAATATATAAAATAATTTATATAATAACAAGTCGTATTGTTTAAGAATGATGCACAATACAATTCATTTATCAAATTTCATATAATGTACAACTTCCAAACTAGCGTATATATATAATTGAAATTATAATTATATGAACAGTAATTCTGCATTATCTTTTGAGTGTGTGTATATAATGATAATGATATCTATAATTAAAAATTAAATAAAATTTAAGCTATGTTAAATAAATGCACAATATATCCGTCACCTTAGCAGATACACACATGTATGCATGCATGATACCATTGTGTATAATATTGATGAACCATGTGGCTTCTAACACGAAGCCCCATAGAATGCAATTAAATACCCATACATGCATCATGCAATATGCATGGTTTGTCGACTAGCCAAAGCCTTGTGTAATTAATTAAATTAATTAAGTAGTTAATTGGAAGAGGAAGAGAGGACACTGACCTGACGTGGCCTCCATGGTTTGTTGGTTTTTGCTGTGTTGGTCTTGTCACATAGCCTTCTAGTTTTACTTTCTATATCTCATTAAAATTAATGAAAAGTAAGTAAGTTATTGATGTTGTTTTTTTTTTCAATTTATTTATTTAAAATTATTTTCTCTCCCCTGAAGTTTTTAACTTTTTACTTATTAAAAATTGTAAAAGAGTAAAATTGAAAAGAAGTAATTTATAATTCAGTTTTTTTTAATTAAAAGTAGTTCATAAGAAGGACTATAAATTCCTTTTAGAATATGACTTACATGTAGGACCGATAAGTCATGAATACAACGCCTTATTTATTCCTTAATTATTCTTTAGCATTATTTTGTTGGCCAAAAAATTCTTTGGCATTATTTTTGTGCATATGTACTCTTCTTCTTGCATGATTCCATGTACCACTAATTTTGTTTCCTTTCACTGTCAACTTTATCCACTAAAAAAATCTTCTTATTAAAATGCCTTTGGTCTTATGTTTGTATGTAATCATTTGTTTTGTCAATGACTTTTCCTCCAAAAATAAAATTCTTCTTCTAAATAGTTGAATTTATTTAAGAGTAATTGATTAAATTATCTTTTAAATTTTAAATTCAATAATATTATAGACTCTTAACTTATTTTTTTATACAAATTATTTCTTAACTTTAAAAAATGGTACAATTTAGTTTCCATTGTTAACAAAATAAAAGTTAACTTTAAACGTTAGTTAACTAGAAAATAAAAGACAAAGATCTCAAAATTTATAAAAAAGGACTAAAAAATTAAAAACTCTTTTGGTCCTTTTCTATAACTTTATGGATCCTTTTATTTAATTTGTGAATCATTTATTGTAATTTTTTGTTCCTTTTCTGTAATTTCTAGTCTATTTTCTATCATGTTTTAATTAACTAACAATTAAAGTTAATTGTAGGAGTCCGATTGTTCTATTTTCAAAAGTTAAAAGAATAATTTATATAATAAATAAGTTTAGGATATATGGTGTTACTAAACCTAAAGTTCATGAAGGAATCTGTTCATTTACCTTTTATCAATTTTTATACAAAGTTTAATTTGAAAATTATGAATATAAAGTAATGTTTTAAAAGCTAGATTGGATAATGAATTGAAAAGGTTAGTAAGTTATTATTCTTATAATTTAACTGATTAGACTAGCGATCAAACTAATAATATAATAATTAAATAAAAATAATATTTATGTACATATATATAAATAAAATATTAAAAATACTAACAATAGCTAGAGGTGAAAAAATGGGCAAACCTGATTTATCAAAAAATTATCTATTTCTGAAACTCAACTTATTTGAAAGGCTCAGGGCCTTGTAAGCCTGTTTTATTTTTTAATTTTTTTAAAAAATAAAAAATTTAATAAAATAAATAAATATAAATACAAATATAGAATCTTAATTTTAAAATGAAGAAAAATTTTTTTAATTCAGATTAACCTTATCAAATTTAATAAATATAAAAGCTTGTATATCATAGAGTATAACATTAATCAAACCCAATAAATAGGCCTTACAAAGTAATCATATTTAAGAAATTAATAAAAAAATTGTCAATATCATGTTAAAATAAATGATAAAAGAATCAACATCAATTATTTTAACGACACAATAATTGAAAAATTATCGATTTTTTAGTTAATAGGATTTGGAGGGTTGTATAAGCCGAGCTCTTTTTTTTAAGATTTACTAGCATCAAGCCTTGAAGCTCAATTTTTAAAAAAAAATTATCAATTTTTTAAACCTGAACCCTTATTTAAATAAAACGTCCAAGCCCAACTCTTACAATAACATTCCCAGTTTAGTATTGTTCTAATTTTTAATTTTCTCTTTCTTTCA